TGAAGGAGTTGTTGAATAGTGAAACTTTTTGGGATGGCGATGTGGTCTTCAAGCGAGGGCTCTCATATTCTTGGTGGCTTTACTACTACCATCCTTCATTTGTTTTGCTTTACTACTACCATTCTTGCTGTACCCAGAGCTTGCAAAGTCATCTACTACTGTCTTGAGATGGATACGATATTGCTGTATATTATTTGTTCTAGAGGGCGTTTTATCTGTATAAAGATTTAAAGTTTTTTTTTGGTTGAAATGAAGTTTCTTTTTCCTCCGCAATCATCGGTACCTCCTATCCTGGCTTCACAAAACGTTTTTTGTTTTTTACTTAATTGGTTTGATACAGTCTTGTCACTAAGTCTACTAAGTTGTATTATGACTTATGACCCCTGATTTGTTCCTTACCATCTTTGTTTTTTCGCACTTGCATGAATGCACTGGTGATCTACTGTGTATAAATGATTCCTTCAATTTTCTATTCTTGTGTGTTCAAAGTGTATAGTCGACTTGGTTTATGTACCTTCTGCAGATACAGTATTTTTCCAATATCTTTATAAGTGAGCAGAGTAATTATGATTTGGACTTCACACTGCCCTGTGAAAAGAACTGACTTGGCCTCAGTAGTCAGTAGCCCTTTTTTGTTTCTTTGGCCACATATAGATTTTTATTTGAAGGCTATGTTATTTAGATCTGATTGTATTACCTTTAGGCAATGAGGGAGTGATCGTTGAGCTTTATGTTTGCAAATAATTTAGAGCCTCTGCGTTGTGCCAATTGGTTCCTTTTATTACAGGTTGTGGCAGAGAACCTTCTACTACCAGTGGACCTATTGTTCCCCTGAAACGGACTTTACAAGAAAGAGTGGTCGAAACAGAGAATTGCTATTTCTGTGGGTAAGATACTACTAATAAATATTTTTTATCGATAGATTAATAGGATCAGTTGAGCTCCTTTATATGAAAATTTGCATCTTTACATAATGTCAGGTATGGCCACACAACCATTGGAAATATCGATCCAGACACGATTATCTTCTGTAACCAGGTATGTTCTGCTTAATGCTTATGCCCAAAGTATTGCCTTTGATAGATTGCTGGCTTGTGAATTATGCCTTCTTGTTACTATTTGCAGTGCGAGAGACCATGCCATGTGAAATGTTACAACAATAGAGTTGTAAAAAAGAAGGTTTGTGACCTTTTCACTTATATGGGCGAAAGGAAGGCCTGCCATTGTGAATGATACATCTGAATGATGATTAAACTGAACATTTCAGGTGCCTCTGGAAATTTTGAAAGAATACATGTGTTTTCGCTTCTTGTGCTGCCAAGAATGTCAATCGCTTCGTGACCGTCTAGAAGAAGGATTGGAAAAGTGTGAAGAGATTTCCTTCCTTAGACGGATAAGATCCAATATTTGTTGGCGGCTTTTAAGTGGAATGGACGCAAGTAGGGATGTCAAACTCTACATGCCTCAGGTCATTGATATCTTCAAAGTAAGTTGTTCTTTCGCTTATAAATTTTGCATCTGCCTGTCAGTAGCTTCTTGGCTGCTATAGTCTCACCTTGATCTCTGTACTTCATAGGATGCATTTGTGGAATCTACTGATGAGCACAGTGACATCTTCTCAGATATGGTTAATTGGTATGTTCTTGCTTATTTTGCCAACTCTTAAGTCATGTATGAGTGGGTTCATTGATCTGCGTTTACCTGTAGTCTTTTTTTTTCATAGATTGAAGTATGTAAACCATCTAAACTTCATTGTTGCAGCAAAAATGGAGACCAAGAGAAGGATTTTCGAGGAATGTATTGTGCACTGTTAACTGCAAGGTGGTTCTTTTCCGTGCCATGCCTTTCATTATTATGCCATTTTGTTCTTCTGGTCTTCATAGTGACGCCTCAATTATGCCTTCGATACTTGAATTTTTATGGTTCTGCGTGCAAACTTTACAATTTTTTGTTGTTGCTGGTATTCTTACTTTTTTTCTCCTATTTTGATTTCATTGCAGCACGCATGTTGTGTCTGCTGCGATTCTGAAAGTGCGCATGGAACAAATTGCAGAACTGGTCCTTATTGCCACTCGTAGAGAGTGCAGAAAAAAGGTGGAATTGAACTTGAACCAGACACTCCATAGCTGATACTGTCGAATACCTCATGTAATATGATTCTACATGTCCCACTCCTAAAAAAAAAGAAAGCAATGCATAACTAGAGAATGTCGATGAGTCACTGACTACATTTTTTTCAAAAAGAAAATGATTTGGAATATATTTAGTCATCAAGAATTAATTGTATCAGCAGATATTTTGGGTGCTGTTCCACTTTATGTTAATTCTCCATCCTTATATCTGATCCCTGGGTCCCTTCACCTACCCTTGTGTGAGTCCAATTTTTTTAAGGACTGGCATGCGATAATGTCGTTTTGTTTTGATAATTCCGAATGAAACCATTTCAGCTACTTTTACTATTGAGTCTTATTGTTTGGCATTTCTTTGTGCAGGGTTACTTCATACTTCTCCTGAAGTCAATCGAGGCAAATTTGAGAGCCTGGAATGTAAGCCTTCTTACTGCGCCTGTTGACCCTGAAATGGCGCAAATCTGGTCAGAGAAGCTCGGGTTCACCATTTTGTCAGCTGAAGAGGTAACCACATTATCTGTCGCATATTCTTATGGTTCATTAAATGGTGAAGTTATTTGATTAATTTTTTGAACCAAGACTAACCGAATATTACAAATTATTTCCTTTGTTCTGCTAATGCTAACAGTATTACGCTCACTTGTTGTTCTGTTGACAGAAGGAGTCAATGCTGGAGTCGCAACCCCTGGTGATGTTCAAGAACCTAGTCTTGGTGCAGAAATCACTTGCTTGAGCAAATCAAATCTGTGTTTGCTTATACTACTTCAGAAATGGAAACCTAGTTTGTAATGTATGGAAGAGAATTTGCCTTTGTACATAATGTAGTTTAGTCTAGGAGATGATTCAGGGCATAACCTTTCTTGAGACGAGACAGTACGGACATGAGTTTGTTTATTTTTCTTATATTAGTACTCCTATGTAGTCTAGACGTGTACTCGGTGTGTTGTTAGTTGCGCGTGTGCAGGGCGTCATTTGCCATACAGCTTGGTGCGTGTGACTGCAGCAGGTGTTCTCACCTGTATAATCGAGTGATCACACGTGCTTATTATGACAATATAAGGCGGTCCGACACGTGCTTTTTAACATAAGGCAGTACTGCCGCAGGAATTCTTGTGAGACGACACTGTAGAATGGCTGCCCAGCGCTGCTGTGATCAGCAGCCGCTGTCCAGCATAATCAACTTTGCATCACTCATCATCATGAGCTAGAGCAACGACGAGGATATCTTTGGATGAACACAGAAACAACGAGGCCAAGCATAGGAGAACTGTCCCCAGCTATCTGCATTGCCCGGCCATGCCATGCCAAGCCTACACTTCGGGTGTCTCTGATAGTATCCTCAAACCAGAGCTACTCTCGGGTGTCCATCATCCAAGTTTTGTGCCGTGAAAGATCAATCGCCTAGCCGCACCATCCTACGGTCTTGTTCGTCGTGAAGCCAGCATGCGAGGAACGGGTGTCCTGCTCAGGAGCGGGCTTTGGCTGCCTTGGCTTGGCAGGGTCAACGAAGATGACCCATCCATCCAGAAACTTGGCGTTCATCTCCTGCCGCGCTTTTCTCAGCCTCTTCTATGGTGGCATATCTCACGAAATCGAAACCCTTTGACCTCCCAGAAACTCTATCCGTCACTACTTTTGCTGCACAAAGTAATATAAAATCCACAGCACAATTAGGGGTGAGGAAAAGGATGAACAGAGGCCTAAACATTACTACTGGAAGAAAGCTTTGTACCTTCAAGGAGCCTCCCGAAGGGAGCAAATGCACCCAGCACCCTGCAGCTTCTCATCTGTCGTTAACCTTGAAAGGCCTGCGCCCAAGTGAATGTAAATCAGGAGCCTCAAAGCGATTTATTCTTATGGAAAACCTACAAGTGAATGAACTGGGAGCTACTGCACAAGGCCTGCGCCCAAGTGAATGTAAATCAGGAGCCTCAAAGCGATTTATTCTTATGGAAAACCTACAAGTGAATGAACTGGGAGCTACTGCTTGGTGCTTGCTGAGAGAAGTACTCGGTATTTATTACCCCATCAAAGAAAGATGCAACTATGGGTTGCGTGTCTGAAAAACAGTTCACTTTTGATTAAGTTTCTAGTGAATAATATTTATATTTATAGCTCTAATAAAAATATATTTCATAATTAATTTAATGATATTTATTTGGTATTGTAAATATTTATAGTATTTTATTTATAATTGATCAAACTTGATAGACTAAGACATAATACTGGGCTAGAATTTCATTCTTTCTTGGAAAGAGGGAGTACCCACCATAGCCGCAAACTACAATCTAAATGGAACAAGGGCATTTTTACTATGATAAAAAGGAGGATTTGACGCCACAAGAGCTGCAGGATGGGATGTAAACTGGAAATCTGTAACAGGTTTAAATGCAGTGATTCATTGATAAAGCTCACTGGTTATCCCAGTTCCCCGTTGGATTGCTCACAAACATAGCATAAAGGTATCCAAGTGCCCACAACACTTATTTATTCAAATTCACATAAACAGACCTGATTTTTTTTTTAAAGAGAAAAGGTTCACTATGAAATTGTGTTCCCTTTTTATTTAGAGTTATTGTGCAATGAGTTAGGCTGGGCGGGTCGGGGCGGGGCGAAGCGGAGAGACGTTACCGCTGATGAATAGCTTGGGTGTGGTGAGCGGTAGCATGTCAGCAACCTTGGTGCTGTCGGCGAATATGGAGGACGGAGCAGACGGGTCGAAGTCGACGGAGGAGCAAACATCAACCACAACCTCATACGAGCCACTTGGGTCACATGGATCAACTTCACCCAGGCTATTAATGGGCTGGGGTGTTACAAGTCGCTACTTCGTCAAGGCCGTCGTCCTTCTTCACGACAAGCGGCTACGCCATGGCCGCGGCTGCTATCGGGGCAACGCTCGTGCGGGAGGGCGGTGGCCTCGCTGGATTTAGAGTAGAAGAGGCGCCGTGGATGGAGATGGCGTCGCGGAGATGGGAGCGCGAACGGAGATGGCGCCACAGAGATGGGAGCGCGAACAGAGTAGAAGAAGTAGCCCCCGTGAGGAGGACGGGCACGGGCACGGCGCGGCCAACACGTCTGCTCGAGCTCCGGCGGGCGAGGACGAGCAGTGAGGAGGGGCCGGGGCGGGGGTCTGCTCGGCTGAGCTCCGGCAGGCGGAGACGAGCTGTGAGGAGGGGCCGAGGCGGGGGCCGAGCGCCAGCGACCAAGCTCGTTGGGCGCGTGGAGGAGCAGGAGATCTCTGGCGTGGAGGAGGAGCAGGGGATCTCCGGCGTGGAAGAGGAGCAGGGGACCTCCGACGGCCAGCCTCGTCGGGAGCGTGGAGGAGCATAGGCGAGTGCCGACCGATGAGGGACACCAATGAGCTTAGCCAAATTGCAAATTTTTCGTAACCTAGGATACGTTTCGTCTGTATTTGATAAACTTTGTTCGATCATGAACTAACTAGGCTCAAAAGATCCATCTCGTGATTTACAACCAAACTATATAATTAGTTATTTTTTTTATCTACATTTAATGCTCCATACATACATCCAAAAATTAATGTGATAGAAAGAGAATGAAAAAACTTAAAATTTGAAAGTGATCTAAACAAGCCCAAGCCTGCTTCCCGAAGAACGGCTGTCCATTCGTTTTCCTGAGCCAGGCTAGAGGGTCGTTGGTGGCTTTCTCAAGCCTAGCTTCGGACTCCAAACGGGCAATCAAACAACTTGAAGGCTAAACCCCATCAAGGGTTAGCCACAGCCGGTTTATTTAGCTGTGGCTTGTCGTAAACGATCGTAAATTTTTTAGTTAGAATAGTATTTTTCTTTTATACAAACCAATTAATAATACTTTTTCATGAATCAGAACGAATACGAACCAGCCAACCAAACAGGCTGACAATCATCACAATCCCTTAATTCGCCTGCTTCGGCTAAAAAAACAACTTTCAGTCTGTTCGTTCGGTCGTATTTAGCTTATAAACAATAACTTATTAATAAATAATATTTTTCTCTCACACCAAATCAATAACTGTACGTACCCAGACGAACAGGGCGTTTACCTTTTTCTTGCTACGGTGATCGGTGAAGGTCTCCAGCCGTCCCCAACCTCCGTCCTCGTTCTACTCAACAGGAGCAGCTCACCTTTCTGTTCTCCGTTCTGTCGCCGCCGCCAACCTCCTCTTTTTCTTATTCGATCGTACGGGCGCGAATATCACTTGCGTTAAGGATCTACTGCCATTCTTATTCGATCGTACGGGTCACTTACGTTCTCGAGAAACAAAATGTGAGTACATCGAGTCACTAACAGTACGGGCCACCCGAACATCGCCGCTTCTTTTAATTCCTCCGCTCCGCGCGCAGGCCAGGCTCGAGGGATTCGTCACCGACGGCGGCTACGCTTGCGTCTGCCCAGTCTCCGCCTGCTGCGGCTACCGCGGCAAGGTCAATCAGCTGGATCACATGCCCATCTGTTTCGAACACTTCGCCGGTTCTGTGGTTTTGTTCGGAACTTCTATCAGGGTTTTCTTCTTCGCGCCGCGCAGGTGCTGTCGGCGCGGCAGTTCGAGAAGCACGCGGGGGCGGAGTCGAAGAACCAGAACGGTCACATTCTCCTCCTCAACGGCAAGTCGCTCTACGACCTGTTCCACGAGCTCAGGGACGTGCCCGCCGAGGCGTTCGCGGAGGAGTTCCGGGCGGCCGCCGGGGTACCCATGACTGTGCCCGCCGCCGAAGCCTCGTCTGCGCCGCAGGGGCAGCAAGCGGGCGCGCCCGCGAGCTGGGAACCCAACGGGGTTCAGGTTGACGGCGTGACGGCGGAGCCCCCTTCAGCCCCTGCGCCTGGACGGGGAGACGTGGTGATGCTGACCGAGGAGGAGAAGGCCAGCTTGTGTCTGCCTGGTTCGAAGTGAGCCATTCCACTGATCGACGGCCTGTTTGGATCCCAGGCTAAAAATTAGCCCATCTTGTGACAATGGATTAAACATGAGCTAATTATGGGCTAATAGGGGCTAATGGACTCTAACCACAAATTAACCCTCATTAGCTCTTGTTAGCCCAAAATACCCACATTTAGGTTCTAATTGGTATCCAAAAACATGAGCTAATTATTAGCTCTAGGATCCAAACACCCTCTTTGTAATTTCGTAGCGAAGGGTTAGACCTCAGAATCAGACTAGTATTTATGCAATTATTCCAGTCTTAGTCCCTTCTGCTTTTGTTTTTAAGCAGGGAAAACAGTTCCACGACTGAGTCGGACACTATGTGCGGCGTTGAAGGGCCTGCTGCAGAACAGATCAAAGATGAAGCAGGTGGTGACCATGTGATGCATGATGTTAAAGTGGGAGTGACAGAAACAAAGTATCAGCTAGACAGTGATCTTAGACATGTTAAAGGATTGCTGTCCTCTGGACTTCTTGAAGGTTTCAGGGTGACCTACAGGAAGGATGAGGTGTGTGTTGTTCCTGCTGGCATTAGGATTGTTGATTCAGTAAACTGATTGAAACCTAGGGTTTTATATCTCAAGAACAACATTTATGCTTCATTTTGATTGTCTTTAGGTGGAGAGCGTTGGACGGATAAATGGACAGGGTTATTCTGGTGGCTGCCCACAGTGTAATTACAGTAGTAATGTAAGCTTTCTGGTACTGCTTGTGTTGCATCAATGATAAGTTCTACGCCTCTTTGTAAATTGTCTGATACCTGACCTCATGATGCCTGATAAATTTTAGATTATGAATGCATGCGAGTTTGAGGTGCATTCTGGTCAGTCATCTAACAACCAGAATGATCAAATCTTCTTGGATACCAGGATTTCCCTATTCAGGGTGGTGAAAGCACTAAAACCTTGTAAGCTTAACATGCTTGGGGATTTCATTGAAGAAAAGATTGGTTTCCCTCCTAATTTTGATGATTATAACAAGTGGAAAGGTGTTTTAGCTTAGCACCTAATATAAGAATTTATTGGTTTTGTGTGTTGCTCAGAATGTGCTAATTTTCCCCCCGTCCCATCTTCATTCTTGTTGATCATTTAGCTTCGTTTCAAAAGAGGAAAGATTATTTAGATGCTGTGGCTTCAGATGGTTGTTCGACTCAGAGGTAGGTTGCATTGCAAAATTTCAATAGGACTTAAGTTCAGATTTATAAATATGTTTATTCCGTGCCGTGTTATTTCAAGACCTATTTATCTTCCTATATTCTATATATGCATCCATAATTTTACCTACTATTGTTTTGGGGCTTCAGCCTCTGTATATGCTCGGTAAGCCCATAAACCTTGCAAGGATGGCTTGGGCTAGTGGGACGCATTTTCTGTGAGAATTGATTCTTAACTTGGAAATGACCATCCCTATCCTTGCTAATTTATTGTTCTATCTCTTAACTGTTTTAGAAAACCTTTTTCACCATTTCGATGAAGTGTACTGCCAATTTGCAGTCAATTACATTTAAATCATCATCATGCTCCTCATGCTAACTTCACCTTGAAAGAATCTGCCAGCAATACCATCTCAAACCCTAACTGGAGTGCATCCAAAAGGCGGTTTGGGGGACAGTTTAGACAAGGAGGCACTGAGACTTCAACTCCAGCCTTTAGTGGAAGCCCAGGCAAAGGGGTTTCTGGCCTCTCTACTGGCACCTCAGAGAAGAAAGCCACTGAAGAAACTCGCAGTGAGGACACAGGAGATTCTCTCAGCATCGATGATGTTAAGTCTGATTCTCCAGTACCTACTGCAGTAACCCCTAACTACCCTAAACATGATTCCACAAATTTAGGGCTTTCTTTATCAAGTCCTGTAAAAATCGCGCAAGGACCACTCCCAAACTGCAGCATAGGCTCAAAGTCAAAAGAATCACAAACAAGGTAAAAGATTAAATCTTTTGTAACATTTAAGGGGTCTTTCTGCAAAAGCTGGTGAAAGGTGTTCTTTTACATGACATTTTGAAATGATGCATAACCTACCTTTTCCTCAGGGATACCACTTTGCATCCACTGATTTTCAAGGAGGGTGGCCTTGCAGATAATATTTTGTTGACTTACAAGTTGAAGAGTGGAGAGGTGCTCTGGATATTCATGTGAACTATATTGGCCCCTTTTTCCGCAATCACCTGAATCTGTAGCACTCTTAAGAGGACTCACGCTTCACTGTTTTTTTAGGCTCTAAAACAAGGGTATAAGCGGGGAACGGGTATCATCTGTAACTGTTGCAATCAAGAGGTACAAAACTAAGCAATCAGCGAATTTTGTTTCTTAGGGTGTAATTATTCTGCATGAGGAGCAATTGATGTTTTTGCTGTTCTCTTTCGACTCCAGTTTACTGCTACACACTTTGAAGAACATGCTGGCATGGGGAGAAGACGGCATCCGTAAGCACCACCATTTTTGGGAAGAAGTTTTGCCTATGCGAACTTTATTATTTATAGAAGAGCTAGAAGTTCATAATGGCATTCAATTAACTTGTTGTAATAATCTAGACCTAAAAAAAGAGTTCTTGGGTGTTTATGTTCATCTAAGCGGTGAAAACTTTATCTTTCAGGTATCACAACATTTATACATCAGAAGGATTATCACTTCATAAGCTAGCTCTGCAACTGCAAGATCGTTTGAATTCGAATGGATTTGACAATGCTAGTGTTTCCAGCTTCAGTGACTACCCTAACCTTACTTCTTCATCAGGTAACTTAATGGGTGTTGTGTAATGCGTACGCCGAGGTTCATTGTAACAACCAATAGCTTATTTTGGTTTCTGTCTATTTCATTAAATTACTCAGTGCAGATTATTCAGTTTGCTGCATGTTGAGTGGTTATGGCTCGTGATCTCTTTCGAATTAGTAGATATGCATGCGGCCTTTCTGAATGCTCAGGCACATATTGGTTGATGTCTTTGTGTTGGTCTGTTTAAAAGAGGGTATCCTGCTGCAATAATGTACCATCAGTTCACCTTGTTGGAAGATGATGACTCTGTAGTTCTCTTGGCCATAGGTCCTGCCTGCTAAGAGCCTAAGAGATTCCTTCCTTCCTTGTTTTTAAGGAATAAATTATTTGAAAGTTACATTCTATCTAATGACAAAGTAAAAAAAAAAGACATTGTCTGCGGTCTTTGTGAATGCTAAGACCATACCAGATTTAGCTTTGCCCCATCCTGTTAACTAGCCTGAACCAGCCAAACATTTGGAAATATTAATAATTGCCTGTTGTCATAACGAATTGCTTTCAAATGTCTGATTACTGCAGTATTAAGCTCGGTTTGTTGGTTTTTGTTCAACTTTTGTAAGAGATAGATATTTATGTCTCTAACCATTCCAGTCGATGGTTTTGTGGCCCTGGATTGTTGGGTTAATTTGAGGAATTGGACTATTTTAGGACTGAGGTTGATACTTGATACCTTACATAGATGGAACTTTAAGCATGGAGGCACTGCTGGTGTTGTCATGTTGAACTATTTGCACTGAGCACTTGCCATTTCTAAAGGATGGAAGGGTAATAAGGTAATCCCCTCATGGAAGTTTTTCAAGGCAAGACAGTAAGTTGTGAGCAAAAAGTTCTACAAAGGTCAGGGCATGGTACACACTACAGAACAATCACACTTTACGAGGAGAATAGTCTCTTTCTGTTAGATTCCCTCCTGTGGATTGGAAAGGTTGTATATCCTTACTCACAGGGCGTTTTTGTCTAAGGAAAATACTTCTAGGGAGAAAAGGATGATGGGTAGTGACTAGTGACTACTGAATAAGCAGTGCTCCTGCGGCATCTTACCTGGCCATAGTGTTGAAGTGAAGGAGTTGTTGAATAGTGAAACTTTTTGGGATGGCGATGTGGTCTTCAAGCGAGGGCTCTCATATTCTTGGTGGCTTTACTACTACCATCCTTCATTTGTTTTGCTTTACTACTACCATTCTTGCTGTACCCAGAGCTTGCAAAGTCATCTACTGTCTTCAGATGGATACAATATTGCTGTATATTGTTTGTTCTTGAGGGCGTTTTATCTGTATAAAGATTTAAAGTTTAGTTTTTTTGGTTGAAATGAAGTTTCTTTTTTCCTCTGCAATCATCTGTGCCTCCTATCCTGGCTTCACAAACCGTTTTTTGTTTTTTACTTAATTGGTTTGATACAGTCTTCTCACTATATCTATTAAGTTGTATTATGAGCCCTGATTTGTTCCTTACCATCTTTGTTTTTTCGCACTTGCATGAATGCACTAGTAATCTACTGTGTATAAATGATTCTTCATTTTATGTTCTTGTGTGTTCAAAGTGTATAGTCCACTTGGTTTATGTACCTTCTGCAGATACAGTATTTTTCCAATGTCTTTATAAGTGAGCAGAGTAATTATGCTTGGACTTCACACTGCCCTGTAACAAGAACTGACTTGGCCTCAGTAGTCAGTAGGCCTTTTTTCTGTTTCTTTGATCACATATAGATTTTTATTTGAAGGCTATGTTTTAGATTTAATTGTATTACCTTTAGGCAATGAGGGAGTGATCATTGAGCTTTATGTTTGCAACTAATTTAGAGCCTCTGTGTTGTGCCAATTGGTTCCTTTTATTGCAGGTTTCGGCAGACAACCTTCTACTACCAGTGGACCTATTGTTCCCCTGAAACGGATTTTACAAGAAAGAGTGGTCGAAACAGAGAGTTGCTATTTCTGTGGGTAAGATACTAATAATAAGTATTTATTGTCGATAGATTAACAGGATCAGGTGAGCTCCTTTATATGAAAATTTGCATGTTTACATAATGTCAGGTATGGCCACACAACGATTGGAAATATCGATCCAGACACGATTATCTTCTGTAACCAGGTATGTTCTGCTTAATGCTTATGTCCAACGTATTGCCTTTGATAGATTGCTGGCTTGTGAATTATGCATTGTTGTTACTATTTGCAGTGCGAGAGACCATGCCACGTGAAATGTTACAACAATAGAGTTGTAAAAAAGAAGGTTTGTGACCTTTTCACATATATGGGCGAAAGGAAGGCCTACCATTGTTAATGATACATCTGAATGATTAAACTGAACATTTCAGGTGCCTCTGGAAATTTTGAAAGAATATAGGTGTTTTCGTTTCTTGTGCTGCCAAGAATGTCAATCGCTTCGTGCCCGTCTTCTAGAAGGACTGGAAAAGTGTGAAGAGATTGCCTTCCTTAGACCGATAGGATCCAATATTTGTTGGCGACTTTTAAGTGGAATGGAGGCAAGTAGGGATGTCAAACTCTACATGCCTCAGGTCATTGATATCTTCAAAGTAAGTTGTTCCTTCACTTATAAATTTTGCATCTGCCTGTCAGTAGCTTCTTGGCTGCTATAGGCTCACCTTGATCTCTGTACTTCATAGGATGCATTTGTGGAATCTACTGATGAGCACGTTGACATCTTCTCAGATATGGTTAATGGGTATGTTCTTGCTTATTTTGCCAACTCTTGATTCGTCTATGAGTGGGTTCATTGATCTCCGTTTACCTTTAGTCTTTTTTTTCATAGATTGAAGTATTTAAACAATCTAAACTTCATTGTTGCAGCAAAAAAGGAGACCAAGAGAAGGATTTCCGAGGAATGTATTGTGCACTGTTAACTGCAAGGTGGTTCTTTTCCGTGCCATGCCTTTCATTATTGGGTCCCTTCATTATTATGCCATTTTGTTCTTCTGGTCTTCATATTGACGCCTCTGTTATGCCTTCAATCCTTGCATTTTTATGGTTCTGTGTGCAAACTTTACAAAAAGAGCACACATATAAACTGCAGATTTTAGTGTCCTCAAACTGAGTATAATTTTTTTTGTTGCTGGTATTCTTACTTTTTTTCCTATTTTGATTTTATTGCAGCACACATGTTTTGTCTGCTGCGATTCTGAAAGTGCGCATGGAACAAATTGCAGAACTGGTCCTTATTGCCACTCGTAGAGAGTGCAGAAAAAAGGTGGAATTGAACTTGAACCAGACACTCCATAGCTGATATTGTCAAGTACCTCATGTAATATGATTCTACATGTTTCACTCCTAAAAAAAAGCGATGCATAACTAGAGAATGTCAATGAATCACTGACTACATTTTTTCAAAAAGAAAAGGATTTGGAATATATTTAATCATCAAGCATTAATCGTATCAGCAGATATTTTGGAATATATGTTAATTCTTCAATCCTTATATCTGATCCCTGGGTCCCTTCAGCTACCCGTATGGGAGTCCAATATTTTGAGGACTGACATGTGATAATGTCGTTTCGTTTTGATAATTCCGAATGAAATCATTTCAGCTATTTTTACCATCGAGTCTTATTGTTTGGCGTTTCTTTGTGCAGGGTTACTTTATACTTCTCCTAAAGTCAATCGAGGCAAATTTGAGAGCCTGGAATGTAAGCCTTCTTGCTGCGCCTGTTGACCCTGAAATGGCGCAAATCTGGTCAGAGAAGCTCGGGTTCACCATTTTATCAGCTGAAGAGGTAACCGCATTCTCTGTCGCATATTCTTCTGGTTCATGAAACGGTGAAGTTATTTGATTAATTTTTTGAACCAAGACTAACTGAATATTACAAATTGTTTCCTTTGTTCTGCTAGTACTAACAGTATTACTGCTCACCTGTTGTTCTGTTGACAGGAGTCAGTGCTGGAGTCGCACCCCTTGGTGATGTTCAAGAACCTAGTCTTAGTGCAGAAATCACTTGCTTGAGCAAATCTAATCTAAGTTTGCCTATACTACTTCAGAAATGACAACCTGGTTTGTGATGTATGGAAGAGAATTTACCTTTGTACATACTGTAGTTTAGTCTAGGAGATGATTCAGGGCACAACCTTTCTAGAGACTCTAGACAGTACGGACATGAGTTTGTCTATGTACCTTTTTCTTAAGTTAGATACTCCCATGTACAGTCTAGATGTATTGTGTACTCGGTGTGTTGTTAGTTGCGCGTGTGCAGGGCGTCATTTGCCACACATGCTTCCAGGTACCAGCTTGGTGTGACTGCAGCAGGTGTTCTCACCTGTATAATCGAGTGCTCATACGTGCTTATTATGGCATGTAAGGCGGTCCAACACCTGAATATCTTTCCGCTGTGCGGCCGTGCGGCCATGTTATACGCACGCTCCCACCATAATGATCCATTTTTATGCCTGGTCGTTTACGATGGTACGAGTTTGCAGTTAGTAACGTTTCTACATTTATATGCATCAATGTATATCAGCCTACGGAGTAGCTCTTTAGAAGAGTAGATCATCTCGACGTTGTGTCATTACTCATCACACTCCAAGTTTATCTACACTGAACTGAATGTTCCAACGATTGTGTTCTAGTCTGGAATATCAGCCAAAGCTGTGGGTTAGTGTCTAATAAATTGCAAAAAACAGGTAACAGGACCGACGAGCAACCATGTAAAGAGAGGGTAGAAATAGCAGTCAATTTTACACTAATCAACATCGTGCGCTAGAGCAACGACGAGACCAAACATAGGAGAACCTGTACCCCCAGCTATCTGCATTGTCCGGCCATGTCCTACCAGGCCTACACTCGGGTCGGTGTCTCTGATAGTATCCTCAATCAAACCAAAACTAATCTCGGGTGTCCCTGATAGCATCATCATCCAAGTTTTGTGCCGTGAAAGATCACGACAGTTCAATGCGCCTAGCCGCACCATCCTACGGTCTTGTTCGTCGTGAAGCCAGCATGCGACGAACGGGTGTCCTGCTCAGGAGCGGGCTTTGGCTGCCTTGGCTTGGCAGGGTCAACGAAGATGACCCATCCATCCAGAAACTTGGCGTTCATCTCCTGCCGCGCTTTCTCAGCCTCTTCTATGGTGGCATATCTCACGAAACCGAAACCCTTTGACCTCCCAGAAACTCTATCCGTCACCACTTTTGCTGCACAAAGTAATAAAAGCACACTACAATTAGGAGTGAGGAACAGGATGAACAGGGGCCTTAATTTTCCCTCTTACTACTACTCCAAGAAAGCTTTCTTTGTACCTTCAAGGAGCCTCCCGAAAGGAGCAAATGCACCCTGGAGCTTCTCATCTGTTGTTAACCTTGAAAGGCCTGCGCCCAGGTGAATGAAAATCAGGAGCCTCAAAGCGACTTATTTTTATAGGGAAACCTATATGTGAAATGAACTCGGACCAGCTGCTTGCTGAGAAGTATTTGTTACTGAGCATAGCTGCAAACTACTATCTCCGTTCCAAATTATAAGTCATTCTGGTTTTTTTAATATAGCTTTTGATATATGCTATGTCTATATATATAAAAAAAACAATGTATCTAGAAAATAAAAAACGAAGGGCGGGCCTGGTGCAGAGTCTTACCGCCTGTGACCGGAAGGTCCCGGGTTCGAGTCGCGGTCTCCTCGCATTGCACAGGTGAGGGTAAGGCTTGCCACTAACACCCTTCCCCAGACCCCGCACAGAGCGGGAGCTCTCTGCACTGGGTACGCCCTTTAGAAAATCAAAAACAACTTACAATTGGGAGTAGAGGGAGTACAATCTAAATGAAATGGGACAAGGCTATTTTTTTATACAATGATAAAAAGGAAATCCGCACAGGTGCAGTAGGATTTGACGGCACAAGAGCTGCAGGATGGCATGTAAACTGGAAGTCTGTAACAGGTTTAAATGCAGTGATTCATCGATATTGGATTGCTCACAAACATAGCATAAAGGTATCTAAGTGACTAAGTGCCCGCAGCTCTAATTTGGGCAAATTCACATAAACATAAGCAGGCTGCAGGTCTGATTTTTTTAAAAAGGAAAAGTTTACTGTGAAATTGTGTTCCCTGAGGCTCTCTTTATAAATTTTTTATATAAATAATTGTGCAATGAGTTGGGCGGGGCGGGGCGGGGCGAGGCAGAGAGACGTTACCGCTGACAAAGAGCTTGGGTGTGGTGAGCGGTGGCACGTTGGCGACCTCGGTGCCGTCGCCGAATATGGAGGACAGAGGAGACGGGCCGAAGCCGGCGGAGGAGCAAAAGGTAGCGCGCAGTACGGAGGAGGAGGCTGGGGTGGAGCGGCATAAGATGCGGCGAAGCAGGGCCGGGGCGGCGGAGGAGCCGGCCATGGCCGCCGTCGGCAGCTAGAACCCTACCCGCGCTCTTGCTCCTGGTTTCGAGCTTTTGGGTCGCCGGCGAAGGTTCGGCTAGACGCTGGCTCTGGCCCAGAAAGCCTGTCTGCTTGCCCTGTTTGGGCTTGTCGGCCCGCCTATTGGCCTGCTCAGCCCCGTTTCCGCATTTCTGTATTGCCTTCTGTATATCAGACGAGAGGATTAGGAGTACATGAACTTGATTTCTAGATCTGTCCAAAATTCAAATCGCCCCTAGTTTTAGTTTGAAGGCAAACCTGTGACTGTGAGTCGTCTTCCGGTAAAAACCCTAGCCCATAGCATCCACCGATCGACAGGTCCCATCGATCCATCGCCAGGCCAAAGCCAAACCAAGAGGGCCATGGCCTCTTCCTCGTCTTCCGGCACGGCCGGCGGCGCCGGCGGCAGGGTCGTGTTGTCCGAGGAGGGAGCGGCGGCAATGGCGGAGTGCATCGGCCTGCTGTTCGGGAGGTGGACGGCACTGCAGCTGGCGGTGCAGAACCGGTGGGGCGGCCTCGACTCGCAGGCCAAGGCCGACCGGCTCGTCTCCTCCGTCCTCTCCTGGTTCACCCGCGCCGCCGCCAGAGGTCTCGACCGATCTCTCGTCTCCTGGTTCACCCTCGCCACCGCATTGCATTATTGTTGTCTTTCAAACTTAATTAATCTGGAATCGAAATAATTCCATCTGTTTTGATGAATTACGATTGATTTTGTTTGTTTCGTTTGTGCGCTATCGGTGGATTGAATTACTGAAGGCACTGGCCCACTCGACCAGGACGAGCTGGAGGGATTGCTGTACGACGCCATGGACGAGTCCTTCAACGCCGACATTGAGGATGGGAGCGTCGAGGAGGTATTTATTCTTCTCCTGCTTTAAATTCTCGTATAATGTAATCTTTCATCCATGAATCAAATCGATCTGTATGTAGTTAACACGATCGGAAACTAGAGAAATTTAGCACGTTATTCATAAAATGAACTTGGGGAATTTAATTTGTTGTCAGAATAGCTGCAGCAGTGTTGCCTTTCAAACTTAATTTTGATCCTGGTTATTTTATTATTAAGTCAAAGATATATGCTCAGGAATAATTTGAACAATGTTGCCAAGATGCTTGAGGTATCATTAATATCATACCCGATGACACCAGAACCACATGATGATTTAACAACGATACAGTACAGTACTAGATGAAGTGCAGACATACATATGTATCGCGAAACAGGACCAAAAAATAGTAGCAGATGTGTTTAAAAAACACACAGGGCATTGCCTTCAGAATTCAGATAATAATTCTGACCTACATCCAAGCAGAAACAAAGAATAATTGTTACCATCACACAGTTATGAGGATAGTGCTTGCCTACCCCTGCACGACTTTGCTTATTATTGCAACTTAATTTGCTTTCCTGACAAATAAAAATTTTATGGGGTCTCTCCCCCCCGGTTACAATTGATCTTCTGTTTGAAGCAATGTTTTCAACAGAAGTTGTATGTATGCCTGTATGTATCTCAAAATATATATTAATAGAGAAGAATATACATCTCAAAATATAAGTAGATGACTACTAATAAATTGGATGAGTTATATTGCATTCTTCCCCTCAATTGCCAAAAGATGATGTTGATTATTGTTCATTGTTGTGTGGAGTCGACTTTAATTTCATTTGCATGCATGTGACAGCATAACTCCGCCTATGGTGGGGCGCCTTTGGTGTCCCAGCATAGCAGGTCCTAAGCCCTGGTAAAGGAGGAGGGTTGTGTTAGGCGTGGCGAGCCAATGTAAAAATTTAGCCACTTTAATGGAGATGAAACCCGAAAGAAAAGCTATTCACGTGCCCAAACCTTGATTGCTTCTGCTGGGTTTCAACTCTAGCCTACCCCAACTTGTTTGGGACTTAAAGGCTTTGTTGTTGTTGTTGTTGCATGTGACAGCATCATCCAGTTAATTTGTTTCCGTTTAAAGCTGCCGAGACACTTAACCTTCTCTCTTCTCCCAAGCAGGTTACTAAGCATCTGATGATTATGTACACATGCTGTCTGCGACAGAACTATTCATACATCGATGAGCTTAGGAAGATACTGCTTGCTGGCAGCGCCATTACCCAGAGCAAAGAGGTAATATTTATGAATGTTTTGAGCTTTTGATGCATTATATGCAATATCCCACAAAGGCATGAGCTTTTTATCGATGCATGTATATGCAATTTCAGAGAGACTTTTGGCTGCAAAATCTTGTTGTGCTCTGTTTCTCTTGTGCCTTTCCATTAGCGGCCTAAAAACTGCCCATCAGCGTTCAGTGCCCATGCACCCTTTAATTTTCCCCTGCTTCAGAGTCACAGTTATTTATTATTACGTCGACGACTAGTGTAAACATGAGTGGCGGTTCTTATGTTAACAATGGCCGCATTCCTCGCCCATGGTCGTAATAAATTAAATGAACTCATAGTTGGTCTCCTCTTCTGAAACAGGTGTTAAGAGGTTACGAGAGTAGCAGCGATGAGATCTCACGCTCAGAGGAAGATGATGATGATGAGTAAGAACACATTGAGGCGTGATGGTTGCAGTTGAAGATCTGAGATGGTTCGAGAGTGCCCGGAACATGATCGAACTTTGAACTTGGCTCAAGGCCTAGAACGAATAGTGAGTAAGCCGAGTTACAGATTACTGCCAAATGTACAATCATTTGGATTGGATATAACTTAAGATTTAATAGTTGAAATCACTAGGACGAAATGTATCCTATGGTTTCAATGGTTGAAATCACTAGTTGCACAAGCGTATCAAGTAACCTCGTTGCGAGTCTGCAACAATCCAACACAGGCGGTGAACACAGCACCATCCAGCAATCTTTCATGAGTAGTTGAGTACAGAGTCTGAGATTTCATCAAAATTATCATTCATTTATAATGTTCATGCAATTACAGTCATAAGATAAGGCAGGGCCGCGGCCGCCCATGGACGGCAGCCCGACAAGCGTATACAGACTGATCAGAAAGCTAAGAAAGGAACGCCCGCCGGCCCAGCCGGCTCGCTGGTTTGGTTCCCTCACGCGGATGGGAGCACCTTCTTGACGATCTCATCGCTGAGCGAGGCGATCTGCGCGTCGAGCGCCTTGACGGCCTCCTCCTTCTGCGCCTCGAGGTTGGCGAGCGCCTCGACGAGCTCGGCCTCCACGCGGCTGCGGCCCTCCTCCAGCTTGGCCTCCAGCTCCGCGGTGGTCTCCTTCTTCATCTTGTTGAGCGCCGCCGCGATCTCGGCGCGCGCCGCCTTCATGATGGCGGCCGCCTGCTCCTCCAGCTGCTTCACCTCCTCGGAGGCGTCCTTGACGTCGCCGAGCTCGCCGCGGATCTTGGCGTCCCGCTCGTCCATGAACATGCCCAGCGGCGTGAAGTAGAGCTTATCCAGCGCCACCATGAGCAGCAGGAACTCGGTCGCGATCGCCGGGAGCGTCAGGTTGAAGTCGAACAGCTGGGCTTTCTCCATCTGCTCCGCCAGCGCCGGGAGCGGCGCGGCCGCCACTGCCACTGCCGCCGCCGCCGTCGCCAGCAGCCGCGGGAGCTGCTGCGCCAAGGGCCGCCGCGGCCGCGCCGAGCTGCTGCTGGAAGAGGAGGAGGACGCCACCGGCTTCAGGAGCGGCGCGGCGCGGCGCGGGGAGCAGGAGGTGGTGGCTGCAGCCATCATAGCCGTGGCCATGGGTGCGAGGCCGGGGAGAGGTGGGGTGGGGGTGGAAGAGCGGCGGCGGCTTGTCAGTGGAGGTGTGGTGGGGAGAAGGGAGGGAGGCGGGCGGCCGGCTATCTATCCGAACGGGTTGGGTTGTGGTGTCCCGACGAACGGCGGCCACACGAATACACGATGCAGATGCTCGCTTCGCTACCACGAATGCCCTCCCCGATATTCTATTTTGTGCTTCGTCAGAAAAGGCCCGTGTCATTTTTGGCCCCAAAACTCTGAAGCCGGCGGCAGTAAGCCAGAGCCTCATGGAGTCATGGGCCATTGTCACTGACTTGTAAAACAAAGAGCAGAAATGGATAGATTCAGGCCTAGAACAAGAGGGAATCTGGGATAGAATTGAAGAATAATTGTAGAGCTACAGAATTTGGACGAGGCAAACCTTAGGTGATTTTGGATGTCGCTTTACCAAAATACCACTCTCGTGTGAGGTGCCATAAACTTGTCTGCTTGGCTATCTCAGAGAATTTTGTTAACAAAGTTGATTCAGCAACAACTGTTAAGAGCTCAACGAAGAATGAAGCACCATGCCGATAAACATAGATTGGGGAGAGAATGTCAAATGGGAGATCTGGTTTATTTGAAACTACAACACATTTGCAATCTTTATTCTGTTACACGATACTGATTGCTTAACGCCTCCATATCCAGTACAAGGCTTTATAAGCCACACCTCTCGGCCTCTAAGATGGGCCGAGCCACACACACACCCATATGGGGCACGCTCAGAACTCATGTGCCTAACTATTCAAACCACGCGCCTTGAGCCATGGTTGCCAATTTGCCATACTTGCTCTTCCTGCTTGGGTACCTGACATGCCTCCCCCTTTACAGCTTATCCCAAGCTGTGGGATACCGATGCTGCATGTCTTGAGGGTCCTCCCAGACAGCCATTGAGCGGGGCAAGTTGTCCCACAACACTGGTACCTTCGGCACCAACCCTTAGATTCAAATAGACCAGATCTCCCACTTGACATTCTCTCTCTCTAATCTATGGGCATGTTCGGCTGCTCTGGACCGGCTGGCTGGTCTGGCTTGGTTGGTGAATCAGCTGATTTGAATCAGCCCAGCCAGTCGGTCAACAAGCTGCTGCTGCAATGGAACATTTGAATGAACTGAATTCAAATCAAATAATGGCGCCAATGAAACATAGTTGGCGCCAACTCTCAATCCCATTCAAATACAAGTTAGTTCACAAGTAACAACATTGACATATACAAATTAGTACCAACCAGTTCTAATACCATTTCATTACATCTCATTCAAATGTGCTTCTAAGGCCATTGAAATAACACTTCATTACAACAACAGTGAACCATTCAAATGTGCCCCCCACTCAGACCTATTGCATCTGGATGCATCTCATTCTCAGGTCAGTGTGTTCCTTATCATGCTCCATAGTTTCTGTCAGCATGGGGAGGCCCTCCATTTCTTCTGTGCTGGGATTGGATGATATGTGGCAAGAAGTATGGGACTATTTGACTGGCCACACTTACTTAGGCAAGCTACACCTTCTTCCTGGTACTTCTGCGTGGTTACCCAGCACTCAGGTGCATCCTGCATGGTCCAAACAATACGCAGAGAAGTATATTACTAGCAATCCATCATGGTGTAATATGATTCTGCATGAGAGCACATATACAAGAATTACCTTCATGATTCCAGCAAGAATTACACCTCCCAGGTACAGCATGTGCTTTCTCTGAGGAGGCTCCTCTATCCGCAGTCGTAATTTCTATGCACAATGAGAGGCAATGTGTCACAGTTGGAAATAGAGAGCAAACGCTTATACTGAGATGAATGCATATCCTTTCAGAAAGTGTATTTGGATTGTTCTGTCTATGAGTTCAATAAGTTTATACACTTATATCTTCTATTTGTAAGAAAGGAAAAGCGCAGATTATTATCTAACATAAATTTGTTGTAAAGGTCAACAGAGAAGAATAACAACTGTGGACCAACGATTACAACAATGCAAGGTAGAACTTCAACAATCTTACAACTCGGATAGCGATCACCAATTTCCTTCATGCCATACAAATATAATGCATGTATATTACCTTCAGGCTATCTTTGTTTCCCTTCACATCTACATCAAGATAGCGATCAAGAATTTCCTTTTCCAACCTTGTAAAAAAGTAGCAACTTGTTAATCATATGAAACTCGGGTAGAAGCTTATATGAACCAGGAAAATAATCACTACAAGAAACATTACAGACAATCAGCTCATTTGAATCAGCCCAGCACAAGCCAGCCCAACTGCTGCTGCAATTTGATTTCAATGAGCTGAATTCAAATCAAATTATGGCGCCAATGAACGAAAGTTGGCCCCAACTCTCAGACCCATTCAAACACATGTCCGTTAACAAGTAACAACATTAACACATACAAATTAGTATCAACCAGTTCTAATACCATTTCATTACATCTCACTCAAATGTGCTTCCAAGGCCATTGAAATAACACTTAATTACAACAGCAGTTAACCATAAAAATGTGCCCCCAAGACAAACCTACTGCATCTGGATGCATCTCATTCACAGGTCAGTATGTTCCTTACCTTGCCCCATAGTTTCTGACTGAATGAATTCTTGTATGCAAAGATGATGTACCAAGAGCAATCAAAGCATCATTTATCTTGACCATCTATACAAATCATAGGGTATTGTTTAAGAGCAAGGGGTACAATTCTCATTTCTCAATGAGACTTCTACAAACAAGACAAGATGCAGTGCTTTTCAGCCAGTAAGAGCCGAGGCTACTTGCACGCCAAGAGTCATGGCTCCGGTGGCGAGTTCCTCTCCTACATCTGCCTCCAATTAGCAGTAATTACAACAACTCATTCGAATTCCTAAGATCGAATTACAACAATTCATTACAGCAGTACATTCATGACTTGTCCATAACACTACTACTTGGAGGACAATATAGAGCTTTTACAAAACTTGTAGGAGTTGCACAAAATATTTGCATCACCTTCAGCAATATGCGCATGTACTCTCTAACATCAACCTACTTTGGCATACAATCCTATAATTTCCAATTGGTACCATTCCAGTACACTAACCTACTGACCTAAGTGGTATCTGTACAAAAATTGTACCCTTTTCTAGGCACACAAGAATAAGCATGAAGGCAGTTCTCAATGGGTGCAACACCTCTGCACAATCATTGTCCCCACATCCCCAAAGATATGAACTCTCTAACCGCTGACATACTGTTACTAGCATTGAGCTCAACCCAAGGAGATGGTGGGTAGGTTGAGGATCCTAATCCATGCTCCCTAATGAACAAGTAATTGTGGAGTGCAAAGCAAGAAATTATAATCATCTTTTGCTTTGTCCGATGACAGTACGGTACCCCATCAAGAATCTGCCACCGGTTTTTAAGAACCCCAAATGACCGTTCTACAACATTGCGTAGCCTAGAATGAGTCAAGTTAAATTTCTCCTATCAAGACATTATCTACAGGTACACCCCTAAAGTCATCCAGATGGTACCTTGTATTTCGAAAAGGACCCATGTACTCTGACTCAAGTGCGTAACCAGCATCCACCAAATAGTAGCGGCCTGCAACACAGTAACCAATTGCACAATTAGGTTTTGCGGACTGCCTAAGCTACAGAAACAATGTAACACATTATTCTTTGGCAGTAGTCACTAACCAGTTGGTGGATGAGGGAAGTTTGGTTCCTCCCAATATTCTTTGAGAACCGACATGTCATGCACCGACCCCGCCATCCCCACACCGACATATGTGAAGCGACCATCCATGTCGACAATTGCACAAATATTTATACTTACATCTCCTTTTCTATTTATATGGTCAATCTTGGCCTCCTTGCTCACCCTAACTTTGACATGTGTGCCATCCAAAACCCCAATGCATCCATCGAAGAATGGTACATATGAGCTAAGTTGCCAATTCACTCCAGCATAACTGTTGTCTGCTGGAACAAGAACAGAGTGTGCCCACCTACACATAACCTCGGCGACATGACTAATCTTCCTACTAACTGTATCCAAAGACCGTTCAAATCTATCCCTGCTCCTTCTAACTGCCTGGTTGTGCGCACAAGTCCATAAATAAATACCTAAACATTCTAGGGATCCTGTCTCTCATGTACCCTTCAAGCCATACCCAAGCAAAATGTTATGCAAATGTAGCAAGTTATCAGGAGACATACGCAAGTTATTGAAGCACTTGTTTTCATTTCGTAGATTGATTTCCATCCACTGCCGCCTAGTCATCTTCTAGAAGGGGAGGTCCGGGTTCACCACGGAAGCCTCATTGGTTATTACGGCCTTGTACTTTGCAAGCAGTAGAGCAGTAGCTGCCAAGGGCAAAATGAATGATCCTTCGCTTGAGTTGTCGCTAGTATCAGATTCCTCACTGCTGTTCATCTACAAAACCAATATTAGATCCAAAATTATCAGGCAGTGAACATTAATGCAACTTCAAACTAGAAAGGTAATGATGGAGAACTCATATTATACATTTGCCAAACTTATTCACATCTGAGACACATATCAATCTAAAACAGTTGGAGACAATGGCATCATCTTTAAAAGGTAACAATATAGCCTTGAAAAGAAAGGGAGAGACATATGCTGCAGATGTGAAAACAAATGTATACAATGCTCCATACCTTGCGACTTCATGGTTGCTGCAACAGCTATTTCTTCCTGAACATGAAAAACCGAAATGTTTGTTGGACTAACCAAATAACCACACATAACAAATTTATTTGGGTACTTGGAAAAAAACAGCAAGCAATGTTCAGGCCACAGGCGCATTACAATGAGGGAACTTTAACAAATGTTCAAAATGACATAATAAAAACATCAATGCATGATGGCTGTTTCGGTTAACATCTACTTGGATCTAGATCTCCTATCATCCCAGCAGATCTTCAGAAATTTGAGGCGTCCCTCTTTGGTTTCCATGCTAAGGAAATTTCTA